TTGGAAAAAGATCCGTTAAATAGTTTTTCAGAAACGGCTAATTAACGCTCATCATGAAAAGCCCTGTATACGACATCTGCGAAATTTTCAATAGATTTTAGTACTTTTTTTATAATTTCAGAATACTTTTTGATGTGCGTATTGTGATTAAGGATTTATAAAAAGTTTAGAAATATTCATAGAAACCCTGGTGTTTCAACTGATTCTCTTTTGTTTTGTCAAACTTTCGACGCGAAAAATAAGATTTTCCCAACTCTACATACATATTGACGGAATCTAAATATGTCGCGTGACATGGACCATGGACCTAATGTCGATTCAATTCCAAATATTAACAATATTGAAAATCGACTTGCCAACTGTCAACTGCCACTGTCAAACTGCGACACTGTAAAACTGCGACACTGTAAAACTGCGTCACTTGTTTATGCAGTTGTATTCAGCACCTCTGTGAATAAAATGCTAAAATTCATTGCATCTCTGTATTTATTTCTTACCAAAAGTGATGTGGGTCAGAAATTTCTGTCAGAATATTTTACATGAGGAAGGGATTCAAGTGATAACAACAACTTTTATCTAATAGTTAAGTGGAAGTGAAGAATAAAAATTATTTTCATTAATGACACTATGCCTTACCTAATAATATACATAAAATAAACATGACTAAGTTATGGTTAACATCTGAGAATACTGATGTAAATGAGGATCTCCCTTTCAAAAAGCCACAGGTCTCATGTATGCATTCATGAATGAAAGATTGTCTGTTACTTAAGTAATCGATTATTCAATCATATCAAAATTCAATAAACAAAAAATGTAGTCCTTCAGAATAAAAAATAAACGAGAATTCTCAGTGGTACTAACCAATTTATTGGTAGACTGGTAATGGGATCAATATGAAGAAAATGAAAATTTCTTAAACTTACTACTGTAGGTATGAGTTATATGAAATTACTCCAGTTTCAATAGGAGATCCTCAAATAAAGATTACAACTGAACATCACCAAAAAACAAACTCTTCCGTTTTTTTGGTGCTCTCCTCAAAGTACCTAAAATATTGAGCATTTCTGACACAGCTTTGGGTGGTTCTTTATCCTGTTTCTCCTTATCCTTTTTTGCTTTCCTCAACGTGAACTGTCCCGACTTTATGGCGTTTATGATGTCTTCGTTCACACCAGGTGCTGCTGGTTTTTTCTCGGGAGTAGATGTCTCCTGAACTCCGATGGTTTCGGCAAGATCGGACAGAGCCACTTTACTCCTCCTCCTTCTGAGTGGCACTGTGGGGGGTTCACCACCAACGGGGGGCAAGAGAGGTGGTGGTGGGGGAGGTGGTGGAGGCGGTGGTAATAAACTGGCCTTAAGTTTCTCTTCAGCTTTATTTGCTCGCTCATTAGCTGCTTGCAGCTCTGATTCTACCAGTTTGAGGCGCTCCTCAAGAATTTCTATTTGCGCGTTGTTATCTTGGTCTTCCAAACGTTCCTGAAGCGAAATTATTTTGTTATTCAAAGCTATTGGTTATTATTTGGTTTGCAGAAGTGTTCTTTTCAAGGTTGTCACCTAATATTAGTTACAAATAACAGGCAACTAGATGCCTATGAGAGTGTAGAAATAAGTAAACACAATAATATTATGAATAACGATGACGGACCTATACCAAAGAGCATACTATATAGCTTGTTAAAATAAAATAATGTTGTTGGGTTTACTGATTACTACATAAGGACANTCACAGACTTTTACCATAAACTTTTTGAAGTGTGCTTGAGCCATATTAATATCTTGTTCTAAATTCTTGACCTTTATGTTAATGTTTCAGATTGTTTTAGTTCTTAAGCCTTCTTTGTCAACAAAACCTAAACTTTTATGACAATAGAGCATTTCTGACTCTGACTCTGTTACCTTGATGAAAAAAAAAATATATTGGACTGGTTAGCAATTCACAAACTTAGAAATAATTACCATACCAACTTTTCTTTTAGTTACGTTTTTCGGCATTTCTATTTTTTACATATTTCACATGAAGTCGTTATTCCACTAAAAATTCTTGTGTTTCTCCATCAAATGAATTCTTATTCATCTAAAAGTTATAGACACTAGTATAAATTATTTTAATCTGTTTGGAACACATCACACATTTTATCTAAACCAACAATAACAATTGATATTTTTTTTTGTTGAAAGATAGAGACATAGAAAGACAAAACCTTCCTGTTCTCCGAATGAAAAAGTTCTTAAAAAGTTATAGTTCGAGGTGTATTACGTTTGACTTCAAAGCTATAAGTAACTCTGTTTTGGCACAAACTATATTGACTTGTACCGCTCTGGGTGGAATAAAGTTTGCTAAAAACAATCAAAATGAATATCTGAATAAAAATTAAATTAGTTTGCATTCTTTTGCTTTTCATTCATTAGTATTGGGTCAGGCGAAGACTTTATTTCTTTCATAGACTGATTTTCTTTTCTACCGACAATTATTATTATAAGATACAATATACTTGTACTTGTATTTATAATGAATTCATTTTCAGAGGTTCCCAATGAAACTTGCAGCATTTTTCTCCTGTGGAATAACTCATCAAAATGTTGACACGTAACTGAAAAACCAAAAATAAACGGGGCATTTTACATTGAGAGATACATGTTCCCAGACCTCATTAGTAAGTTTACAGCCAGTAAATATTTATCTGGCCGTTATTGGTACTAAAATAGTTATAGGTTGGGTAATTTTCAACTGGTATCCATTAATGAACTTACACTTGAGATTATCCAAACTCTGCCGTATTTCTTGGAAATTCTGAATTTGTGTTTATCGGACAGTAATAAATACATTAACGGCAAAGTTGGTTCGAATATTAGATGGTTACACAATACCTATTGAAATATAAAATGTGACAAATTTTTAAGATGGAAAGAAAAATAACATCCTTTGAGACTCGAAGAAAATATGTGAATCATTTATACATGACCTGATTTTTTAATATTTCCACGATTAGTAATGTCTTCATAAAAAAATTTGTGATTGT